AAATCTTAAACTTGTTGCTACTCTAAGTTATGCTTGAATACTTAGCACCTAGTGACAAGCCTTAATCAAAGGTGCGTTCCCTTTATTAGGAGGGGTAACTAAATAAAAGGGCTTGCACCTATAGGAAAACTTAAACCTTACATCTTAAAGTCCTCACTAGAAAAGGAAGAATTCTCTAGGTAGTTTCTTATTTACAATTTTATCTAGGTTCATCCAGAACCTCAAGATAAATTTTACTAATCATCATATTCATTTCATTTTATGTTTGATTGAGGCAATAAAATTTCAATTTTTTGAATCCCATGGTCTTGTAGCTTTAAATAATTATTAACTCAAATCTAAATGGACCCCTTAATCAACACAACCAATGAGTACCAACAATGATTCATTAGTGAAGCTGGAATGACTGCCTCCTCTGACTTATTAATTTGGACTCCATGATGATCTAGATGATGAAATAATATGATCCTAATCAGGTTCTTCATTGTTTTTCCACTATCTGCTTTAAACTCATAAAGATAGATCTTATAACCTAAAATCTAAGTCTATATATTGAAAATTCAATGCTTAAAAACTAGCATTAATGATCCCTTTTTTATTAGAAAGGGAGATTAATCATAAAGATTTATACCTATGAGAAAACTCTGACCTCACATATTAAAATCCTCATAATATAAGGATGAAATCTCTAGGTAGTGTCATATTTGCTATTTAATCTGCATTCTAAAAATTTAACCTAGAAAACCAATTATAAAGCTCTCATTGAGAGTTTGGACGACATATATTTATAGCCTACAAATTTTACCAAATTAATTTTAAAACAAAAATGTTGAATAAACAAAAAAAATGATTTAATATTATAGAATATATTTTTTACACTATTAGAGTTTTATGCTCATTCATCCATGTGTATGAATTTCATCATATTATTTTGGCCTCAACAATGTGAAATTCTTAGTTTAAAAGAGTAAGAAAATTAATTTTGTACAATATTGATAACATAAAAAAGTAAAATAGAAAATGAAATATTCAAAAAATACAAAAACCAAACTAGACAAAAGTTTGTAACTAGCTAGAAGTTGGGTATAATAAACGGAATGAAATAGAAGAGCAGATAATTCATGCTACTTAAGATAAAATATGATAACTACAAAACTTATAAGTAAACAACTGACACTCATCTTTGAATTTGGTGCAGCATGAGCTGACTCTTTGATTAGAAAATCAAAAATTATTTTTTGGTATTGATTTTATAAAAATAATTACAAGTTGACTTGCTAATCTACAATAAATTAGGCTCAGATCTCATTTATGTTATTTATAGATCCAAGCTATTCAATTTCAAAAGACCCAATCAACTTTAAGTTTTAACACTTCTTGAACCCTATACCAAAGTAAATGATCATTTTAAAAAACCCACTACTTTTAGATGTATTTCACTAGCACAATGCATAAAATAAGAAGAAATATTAACATAAAAGTTATTTAGCCTAATTGTAAATTATAAATCAAATCTTGCTTTAAAAATAGTCTTCCTAGATTTTATATGTTCCATTCTTTCCAGTTAAAAATTTCTTTTTGAGTCATTTGTGTAGCCATTACTTACAAAAAAAAATTTAAAGTTTTTCTTGATTTTTATTTTCTTTTTGACAAATGAAAACTTCAACATTATTTTAATTAGTCTCCATGCCATAGAAATATGTCATTAAACCAACATGAACCATTTTAAAATTTGTATAATTTTTTTCTAGCAATTATCAAATTTTAGCACTGTTGCAAATCGCTAATAAATCATTCATTGCCATGAAGTACATGGAAATGTATTTCCCTATTTCTTCACATGGAGATCAACTTATTATATGTTTTTAATAAAACCTAAACTCAAATGATGATCATTGGACTTGTTATACTAGACCTTAAGACCATATTTTAAGCCATCAAGACCGTTTCTTAATAAGTAAACAATATCTTATTAGCTCTCTTCAATGAAACATTTTGGCTGCTCAATAAAGATCTCCTGCCAGAATAAATCATTTATAAAAATTGATTTAACATCTAATTGAAGAAATTTAAATTATTTTTCAGTAGTTATAACTAACACTAATCATGTTATATCTATTCTTACAATTGGAAAAAATGTATCAAGTAGCTACCTAAGAAAATTACCATATCCATTGATGAAAAAATGATTCATTATTTTTTTATGGACTATCAGTCATTTTTTCTAATTACTCATCTCAATCATTTAGTTTCACTTCTAAATTATTTCACTTAAATTACTTTTATATCCTTTGGTCAAACAACTATCTATGAAATCCTCTTTATTTTCTTAGCATTAAAAATCTCTCCATTGTCGTATTCTATTTATCATCTTTAGCCCATCTTCATAACCCAGAAGCTTAGAAATTATTTGATACCATCTCCAGTTGATATTATTTAACGATCTTATTACATGGATTGGAAGAACATGTCTTAATATTTTTATTGTTTTATAAGAAAAAATGAAAAACACATTCAATTAATAAATAACTTTTAAATCTTCTTAATTTTACTTCTTATCCTTATTTAAAACACATTCTATTAATAAATAACATTTATTCTTAGTGTAAAGGACTTAGAATAGGGATTTTAGCCTATAAATCCATGGTAAAACTCCAACACTTATTTTTCATTTTTTTCCAAATTCTCATTTGCTTGATTGTGGCACGCGAATATACATTGGTTCAATAGTTCAAAATACTTAACTAGGTGGTTAATTCTTAAATTTAAATGCTTTGTGTGGTTTCTATATAATTATCCCTTTTTATAAATAACAACGACTAATTTCTTTTATATCAAATCGTAGTTGTGGTTCAAAAATATTATTAATTAACAATAACTAAGATTTTTGTTATTATTTTTTTTAAGAATTGAAATATGTCATGAAATAAAAAAGAGTTACAACCTTTAATAAAAGGCATGGGCAATGAATCACCATGCAACAAAATAGAAAGACTAGAAGAAATAAATTTAAAGATATGAGTATTATCGGTAGAACAACCAAGTGAAGCCAGCCAGTTGGCTGGTTGGTTATCCTCTATTAAAATATGAGACCATCTAATATCATTTTGTTGAGCCAGTAAATGAATCCTCTTCAGCTGCAATTGGATGAACTGAGGTCCCTCATTTTGGTGATATAGAAATCTCCATAAAGAGATTGAATCAATTTTCACAAGCAAACTCTTTGGTCAGAAACACATAGCCAACAACAAAGAGTTAAGGACAACATCAACCTTAGCACTCAATCGACAGATAACACAAGTTGATGTAGTAAACGAAGCAAAACAGTGACTAAAATGATCATTAAACGCACACCCCAATACTAGCTGTAGAATTTTTTAAACTACCATCAACATTAACTTTAAAACAATTATTCATAGATGTAGTCCTTCTAACAAGTTAAGCCTTTGATGTGATAGAAAATGGAATAGACACATTGAATTTGTGAAACAACATAAAACGCTTCTCCTTAACCAACTTTCTGGTAACTCCATACTTAAGAACCTTCTGTAGGAAAGCAATAATATGAGTTAAAGGTTTTCTACAATTATTCAATTAGTGCAAAATAGATTTTAATTATCTCCTAATGCTTCATTCTGTGAAACTAAATTTACTTTATCAAATTTAAGAATTGTATCACTTTAATTATTTCATCTTTTACACATTCTAGTTTTTGCTATTTTAAGAGACCTAATTTTCTTGAAATCATTAAAAATTCAATGCAAATGCACAATGTTTTGTGTTTGAGATTCTTCAGGGGGTCAGACTAGATTTTATAATCATCTTAAGAAGCCTTCCATGAGTTGAAAACTTCCAAGTATGATTTTGTGCATACCACCTTTTTTATTCTGTCCCCATAAAAAGTACAATTTAGAAATTAGATTTGTATTTAGATCGCTCAAAATAAACTCATAGAACCCTTAAGAATGCAATCTCTATACTAATTAGCCTCAATAAGTGAAAGAATAATTTTGATAAGAGACATAATTTAAAAGAAGAAAAAAATAGATTAAAATTAATTTTGAAAATGAAAAAAAAGTAGTTTCAAGAAATGTTACAAGCATAAACACGAAGTTCAGATTTTTACATAATTTGAAATTAGAAACTATCTCTTAACTACCTCTTATTTTGGATTAATAGTTACTGCAAAATAAAAAAAGGTAAAGTAAATTACTTAAGTTAAATGTGGTAGTTTTTTTTCATCCTATAGTATGAGATTTCAATATCTAACTTGCAATAGCTATGAACCTAAGGCCAAATAATTAATGGAGATGATACATGTTAATTCAAGAAAAATAAAGAAAACTTGCAAGGTTATTACCTTGAAAATACTTCCAACTATTTTACTCCAAAATATAACATCGAATTAATTTTTGTCTTTATGATTCAATCATAAAATCTTGGTTAGATGGCACTACCCTTTATAACTTGAACCAACTCAATAATGAGTTGTATCAATATTAACAAACAAAGAAATGATATGGGTCTTCGATATAGGATGATGATATATAAGCCTTAAACAAATCCCATACATCCAACTAAAGTAATCATGATATTTGTACATCATTCTCGTAGGATTCTCTCAAATCATTCTCAATCACAAGAAATGTTAGGGTCAGTCCATTGCAGCCAAAATAACTATTAATTTCATTTCTATCAACATGATTGAATACTTAGCTTAAGCAAAGTGTAATGGCTTGAATAAAGCATATATGTTTTTTTTTTTTTTTTGTTCTTTTTTGGGCCGAGCCAAGAAAAATGAAGATTTGTTTCCTAAACTCAAATCCAAAATATAATATTGTCGAGTTGGATTGTGCCAACATGTAACTTAGGCTAGAATTGTTGCTTAGGCCGAAGCCGTGATATAATTGGAAATATTTCAATTGGTGAGCGGCCAACTTATGAACAAATCTTGGTTTAACATACCTAACATTTAAACTTAGCAAGTTAATACTGATCAATAAGTATATCTGATCAAAAATAGGACGTGGGATATCCTTAACGAGACTGGAAGTAATTGCATCTGAAGTAAAATAACTTGTATTCCAAAATCTGTAGCTATTATTTACATATAGCTCTTCATGAGTTAGTACGATTTTCCACATGCAGGTTGTCGCTGGTAATTGCATACAGCCATGCGACTAACTGCTCAGCTAGAGGTCTATTCCTAGGAGCCTCGCTCAAGCATATGGATGCAATTTCAAGCATCTCCAACATCTGTTCTTCATTTTCCTTAGTGTAGATGTGTCGATCTAAAACATTGGCTTCTTTTCCCTCCTTTCTCATCTGAAGCACCCACGAAATCAAATCCCTGCATCTTTTTGGCTTGGCCATGTCCAATGGCCTCTTGCCTGTAAGCAACTCCAGAAGAACAACACCAAAACTGTAAACATCACCCTTGTAAGTAGCAACTGATGACTGGCCATATTCTGGTGGAATGTAGCCTAAAGTTCCAACCAGATCAGTGGTAACATGAGTGTTGTAAGGAAGAATAAGTCTTGCCAGCCCAAAATCTGCCAAATGAGCCTCGAATTTGCCATCGAGAAGAATATTACTCGATTTGATGTCTCGATGCAGAATATGCGGCCAGCAAGATTGATGTAAGTATGCCAAACCTCTCGCAGCTCCCTGTGCAATCCGAAGCCTTGTGCTCCAATCCAGAGTTGATCCTCCATCAAACTTCTCATGAAGCCAGTAGTCTAAGCTTCCATTCTCCATGTATGAGTAGATTAACAGTCTATCGCTCCCAATCATACAGTAGCCTTGAAGAAGAACAAGATTTTCATGTTGAGCTCTGGAAAGAGTTTCAACCTCAGCTTGAAATTCTCTGTCCATCTGGCCATAATCGCCAGAGAGCCGCTTGATTGCAACCTTGCTTCCATCTGGCAACATCGCCTTATAAACAAGACCGAATCCTCCACAACCAATAATGTTGGACTGATCAAAATTACCAGTGGCTTTCAAGATGTCGCTGATGCTTAGTTCTTGTTTATCCATGTTTTTAAACAGAATCACATATTTTGAGCCATCAGTTTCCAAATCGCCTGAATCAGCAACCTGTTTGGATCTCTCTTCCCCTTTTTTGGAATGATTTCTGAACAAAAACAAGTACACAATTGCAAGAAGTAAAGCGGTACCAATACCAATTCCAAATGTCATTCCAATTATGATGGCTTTGCTCTTTGCTCGCCGGCTTATTGATTGTACGGGTTCAACACAATTACAAGATGGGGAATGGAAGTAGCAAAGGCCAGGGTTGCCTTCAAAGTCTGCGGCAGAGAAGGTAGAGAATTGGCCTCCGGTTGGAACTGAACCAACCAAATTATTAAAAGCTACAATGAAGCGTGAGAGAAAAGTGAGCTTCGTTAGGGACAAAGGAATGCTTCCAGTGAGATTGTTGTGGGATAAATCCAATAGCTCTAAGCTTGACATGCCTGATAGCTGATCTGGTATTGTCCCATAGAGTCCATTGTGGCTCAGATCAAGTTGATGCAGTGCTTTCAAGTATCCGAAACCTTTCGGGATTGATCCAATAAGCATGTTATGGCTAAGAAGCAAGGAAGGTGGAAAGCTGCTGACGTGATTATATTGGAGCCCTTTACCTGTTGTGTTCTTTTTAATGTAGAAAGGGAAATCATTCAGTGAACTTGGTTGCTGCAAATTAGTTTTGGCCCTCAGTCCCTTCATCTGTGCCAAGCCATCTGGTATTTCTCCCCCAAGTGAATTGTTTGAAAGATCCAGATAGAAAAGATCATTCAAATCTCCCAACCATTGAGGAATGACACCAGATAAGTTATTCCAAGACAGATCTAATACCTTCAACTTTGTACAGTTCTGCAGCCAAGTGGGAATCCATCCTGAAAGGCCACAGTTTGGAATTGCTAGAACTTCTAGATTTGGAAAACCTTGAATTCGCTCGACCAGAATCTCCTCACCGGCTTTGAAGCTTTTGGTGAGAACAAGATTGGTGAGTTTTGGGCATTGTTGCAGGACTCTCAATGCGTCATTCAGATTGGACAGCAAGTTCCTGGACAGCGAAAGGTATGTCAACGAAATAAGGTTCTTAAAGCTCTCAGGGATTTGTCCGGTAAGTAAATTACTAGCAACATTCAGCGTCTGCAATTCTGAACAGCCAGACAGATTGGGAGGGATCGTGCCGGAGAACAAATTTGACCCAAGATCAAGAGATGTCAGCAAAACCATTCCGGTAAAGTTGAGATTGATTTCACCACTCAATGAATTGTTTCTAAGATTCAAAACTCTAAGTCCGGACAAGTTTGATAAGGAAGCAGGAATTGCACCCGAGAAACGATTGGATTGCGCACAGAAGCATTGTAACTTGTTCAGATTTCCGACAACATTAGGGATATTACCATAAAATCTGTTAAAGGAAAGATCAAACTGCACAAGGTTTGAGAGATTACTGATCCTATCGCTTAACCTACCGAGCAGATTATTTCCCTCAAGGTTCAATTTTGACAGATATTTCAGCTTGAATAAATCCTCCGGCAAGTTACCAGAAATGTCATTCATGCATATAGAGAGCTCACGGAGCGAGCTGCAGTTTGCAAGCCCCACAGGAAATTCACCAGAGAGCAAATTCATGGAGAAGTAAAGAAACTGAACACCAGGGGAGTCGATGCAGATTTCAGCATCGACGTCGCCGGTGAACAAATTAATACTGATATCGAATAAGGTGAGACTCTTCGAACTTGTAAGGATTGGGCGGCTGCCATTAAACATGTTTCCGGAGACATTAAAATGTTCAATGGAAGTGAGAGTGATGTTTCCAGCAATTGGGCCAGAAAGGTCGTTCATGCTGAGGTCGAGCACCTTTAGGTTCTTTAGTTGGAAGATAGAAGAAGGAACAACTCCTTTGAGAGAATTTTGCGAAAAATTTAAAGATATAAGCTGATCCAAAGCTCCGACTGAATTCGATATGGAGCCCGAAAGGTTCTTATTTGAGAGATTTAGATGAGTGACGCGTCTGCCGGAATTCGATAGAGGGCCGCATTCGACTCCAGTCCAGTTGCAGCAGTTCAAAGAAGTGCCCGCAGTCCAGGATGACAGAGGCAACGGCGAGCCGAGAGCGTTGGCAAAGTCAATGAGGGCGGCGACGTCGCCGGAATCGCAGATCAGGCTCTGGGATCGGACTGTGTGAAAACAGATCCAACACCATGCGTACATCCAAAGCAATGCCCTGTTCATCATTGCGTCGGTATTATGAAACTAGAAAAGCTTTGAGATGGATAATTAAGTAGTTTTTAAAGCCGGAATGGATGGAGCATGAAAACTATTGGAGGTTCCCGGGAGATTTTCGCCATTGAGGGAGATGAATCGAATGAATCGAAGAAGCAGAGGAAATCTTCATATGAGGAGTTTGGTTTTGACTCTATAGGGACATGGAGCGTGAGTTAATTAATTATACACAGAAAAGTTTATCTTAATAGAATTTATTAGTGGCTGTAGGATTGCCTATGACCACGAATGTTAGGTTGGATGAATGCGGGGGGGGTTGATCGTTGGAGTGGAAATGATGTCAGAGGCTTGGGCGGTGGAGAAGCAGACGATGACCGGTAGTAATGGGTCATGGTTTTGCAGTGACCGACTGTTCCGGTGCTCTCAACTTTAAAGTCAAATGCCCGCCTGACATGCATGATCATACTCAACGCACCCTCTATTCGGCGGGCGGCTTGTATTGTATTGTGCCTTCGGATACATATTCATAATCTCCTCCCAACTTCCTCTCTGAGAAAATCGTGGAACATCTCTTCGTTATTAGATATTGACTTTTATGGCGTCTTAGAAATGTTCCTGCGGTACAATTCAACGCTGAGTAAAATGCAACGCTTCTAATTCATTGACTAAGAATTTATGGCCTGACGGTCCGTTAGGATCTTTGTTTTTTTAGAAAAGTATTTTATTTCTAAAAAAATCTTATCAATTATATGAAACTGACTGAATTTCGGATATGTGCCAAGAGACCCATATTCCTCAGCTCCACGAACAAAACTCGGATTGATGATCTGCAATGGGCTATTGTGTGCAAGCCACGAGATGAATATTATCCCGCATCCATGGAGCGCAGGTTTTCCCTTTTGATGGGGAAACTCGGCCTGCTTTGTGATCTTTGGATCAACATAACAATAGAAAATCTAAATCGTTCCATGGTTGAATTAGCCCAACCAATTCTCTCTGAGGCAGAACATATTGATGAGGACCTGCTGACAAAGAAATGTGAAGCTGTACACACCAAACCAATATTGTGGACATAAATCTCAAAGGAATCGAACATCTAAGGATGACGACATAACAATCAAAGTATTAAATTCAAGAAATATGATCAGAACCGATTATCCAAAAGATCAATAGATTGATCAAATCCACTCTCTGAAAATCTGGTTGGCGAACCTATCTATGGTTCCTACCGCTGAAGCTGTCTCTAATTTAGTATTAAATAAGCACATTGATTGTGTTGAGGGCTATTTCAATAGTCACTCCCTCTATTCGGTAATTAAGGGTTGTTTCAAAAATTAAAAATAGGAGGCCCGACATTGAATAAAGAATCTCGGTCTGAAGACTTTTTTCTCGGCCTCTACCGATAATTCACTAGCATTTTTACTCTCTCTACTCCTTCTCCAGCCTCTAACTCTCGAGGAGTGTATTTCCAAAGGATAATTCTGGATTCAACATCCTGAAAAGTGATGTGGTGAGCGTGGACATGTCCCTGAAGAGAAGCGGAGTCAACTACGAAGGAGAATCTTTGTAGAGAAAAATAGCGCCTATGGAATTGAACAGAGAGATGGTGTGTCGAGACAAACATGAAGAGGTCCATGCACTGCGAGCACAAATAATGGATCATTTTGATGCTCTTCAGGTGGTTTTGATCCAACTGAATGCCAGATCATTGCTTATGGAAGCAGAGTCTCTGGGATCTCGCCCTTAGAAAGCTCCCCTTGATAATTCGCCACCACCCCATGGTTGGCCTGGTGATCAGCCCATCAAAGGACCAGAGGAGTTTGATCCAACAGATAGTGTCGCATCTACTCCTGAAGCCTAACATCGTCCGAACTGAATGGGAATGCTTGTATGGCCAGCTAAGGGTAGTGCTTTCTTCCAAAGTATCATGGAAAGCATACCTCCAGTGAAGCTCATGATCCCTCAATGCGATCCTTATTAAGGGAAGAGTGATATGGCCGACTAGATGGCTTCTTTCAAGTCAAAGGTCAGAGTCTTGCAAATTGATGATGCCAGGAAGTGCTGCTGTTCCTGACCACGTTGAAAGACGGTGTGCTCTGATGGTTTAATAGCCTACCAGATGGGATCATCCCATCCTCCTTCAAATTTTAGAAACTCTTCCTAGCACACGTTATTTATGTGTAAAAACAAAGGCAGGTTATTGAGACCATGCTTCAAATCAGGCAAGAGGAGAATGAAAGACTGCGAACTTACATCACCCTTTTCCAGAAGGAAATGCTAGAGGTTAAGAATCAGATGCCCCTCATCGCTCGAACAGCCCCGAAGAGTGAGATCTGCAGCAAACAATTCAGATATGACCTAAACCTACTCAAGCCAAGAACCTTCTTTGTGGTCTTGAGATTAAAATGTGACAATATTGCTGCCAAAGAAGACCTATGCATTCCTTACAATCTACACGAAGAGCATTCAATCACCAGTCACAGAAGCGAATGAAGACAGAAGGCCAAGGGCGATCGAATCCCTGGTTGCTGATAGACTAATAATCCTCCATCTCGAGATGGCTGAGCGGGTGTGTCGGTTGCCAAATTGGGAAAGTATATTTAATTTAATTTATATATATATATATATATATATTAAAATTCATTTTAATTTTTTAAAAAATAAAAGATTGACAAATCTCATATAAAAAATAGTTTAAATAAATTAGCACAACACCGCAAGCAAAACTGATCCCATATAGATAATAGTTTAAATAAACGAGCAAAACACTGTAAGCGATGCATCTACTACGAGGAATAGACACATCACTTGCTAAACGAGGCCCTATTAAATAAATCAAAAAATTTATGACATCCATTTTAGCCTGCGGAACCATTTATGTTGACCGACAAATTTTTAATATTTAATATGAAAGATTATACAAGTTTAATATCAATCTGAGTTCTAAAGTTTTTTATAAGGGCAAGCTACTATAGTTAATCACATCTTAAATGATTGAGGCCACTTAAGAAAAGTCTCGATTTATATCAGAAAATATTGTCTTCAAGAATCTCAAAGGGTAGGACTTTCAAGGTCAGCAAAGGAGTATCAAATGGGCAAAACTCAATTTTAGAACATTTATTATGGAATCCAAAGGGAGAAAACTTAAGGGTTATCGCGGATCCTGAGGAAAACCTTGGTGACTTCCCAAGCTATCCTATGATTTAGCTTCAATTTTAAGGAAATATTATTAAATGTTTCATCCTTCCAATTATTATTATTTAGGGCTTACATTTGCATGACACAATCACACAAATAGCTTGGAAGATAGGAGGGTTTATGTCAGTCTGAATGACAACATCAAAATCCTAACACAAACTAGGGCTTTAATTGCACAACATGATTGTACAAAGGCCTAAAGATATTGTGTGGATTTATGTCATTATAGACAAGCTACCTTGAAATCTTATGACTTTTTATTTAATTCTAAAGAAAGATTGTTGTTGAAGATTCCCTTGCTCTCTCAAAGTTGTTCTTTTGTACATTCTTGTCATACAACCCACGGAGTTAGCTCCAAGCTACTCGTCAAAGTGATAGTTTTAGGTTCCAGGTTCAAAGTTTTTTACAATTTAAGTGACAAGTTTTGTTGTTTAAATGTCTTATTTACAGGAAGTTAAAGTTGATTAGAGCTAAAATTAGGATGTCACGGTTCCCTCATTCTGGTACAAATATATCTCTTGAATTTAATTAGTTTAAGGAAGTTGTTAAGCTCATTTAAATTGGGGAGATCTCATTAGCAACTATAGGTTATCTCATTGAAGGGACTCTCGTAAATTCTAAAGGACGTATTATGCTTTTTATAATATTTTGTTTCATTTTGAGAAGAGGTTGTTTTAAGTTTTAAAACATTTTTTATAATTTTTCAGTTTTGGTAGAGTTTCGCAGGTAAGGTAAATTATTGCAGGTAAGAAAATTGCTGTAAAATAAATAAGTAAAATTACATTGCATAGAATATAAATGTGTATTTGGGCATCTGTTACCATTGCATGATTAACATTATAAAGCATAATATATTTGTAAGAAATTTGAACAAATTGCAGGAAAGTAAGCAAGGGCATCCAATATGGTAAAAGTCAGAAAAATGAGCCGTAGCAAAACACGAGCAAGTAGAAGAAAACTCATAGTCACAAATAAAAGATAAAGAAAAAGTGTAAGTCATTGGTGAATGTGGGGAATTAGAGCTAGAATGTGTGCTTCCATACCTTAAGTCAGAGCTACCAACCTGATAATCTACGGAGAACAGTTCTAACATCGATTCAAGTGATTAACCATAGACCTTTATAAATTTTCATTTCAATTTAGTTTTCATGCATGTAGGATTTATTTTATTATGCAAAATAAATTTTTGTTGCAAATGGGATTTTCATTTAAAACATTTTTGGAGAGTGGTACAGTCCACAGGTTAATTAATTTAATCAAGCTAGGACTAAAAACAATCTAAGATTATTAGGGGGTAATCATCTTCTCAAGTGTCGTTGAATAATATCATCGATCCTTATCCTCTCTTTTTATTGAAGGTCATTGAGGTAGGAGATACTATTCTAAAATCTCACATCATATCACTCAGTTTAGGACACATTATCATTATCGTCATTGGCTTACCCACCTTAACTTCAGACTTACACAAGCCCGATGATCCATATGTGGCAAAAATAAATATCCACGGTTGCACACAAGGATTTAAATACCTTAAAGAAGACTCAAGTCCTTGAGCATTGGATCAATTAATGTAGGATAAGTAGTGTAGGGCATTTCTATTAATTTAGGTGAATTATCGGGTCTCAAGACATAAATTAGTGGATCCCTAAATTTTTTTATGGATGATTTTTTGAAACAAAGTATAATAAGTTCAACTATCCTTCAAAATATCCAACATGTCATAAAAATGTTCAAGGAACAATCCCTAGCAACTTTTAGAACACATTGAAACGTTTCGAGTTCATCTAAACTTATTATGTTGTTCAATTAATCATTCAAAGCTAAATTTAGATTCTGTGAATTAATCTACTATGTGCTTAATGAACCTTAAAATTTTAATTATCCCATGAGAGAGATACTCATACATTCACTTGATGTTTTACTTAAGAGTTACGTAAGTGGGTGCCCCTAAGGGCATGCTCAAGTCATTAAGAATATTGTAACCTTAATTAAAATTGGGCTCATAGTGCTTAAAGGTATTTATTATTAGTTGTGTTCATTTTTTCTAATCCTCATTAAACACGTTTAAATC